CACGGTAGGCAGTAGTATGGCACCCATGAATATGATGCTTTGCTTAACACCATTACTAATTAATTACCTTGACAAGTACAATAAATTGAATGAGTTGAACACCAAGCAAGAAATTAACGAGTAGTAAGCGAATGTTTAGGCTGACGCAAAAAGCATGGAATGGCAATGCAGGTTGGGGAGCGCGGGCTGCAGTTGTCGGGCGGGCAGAAGCAGCGGATCGCCATCGCGCGCGCCATGCTCCGGAACCCGGCCATCCTGCTGCTGGACGAGGCCACCAGCGCGCTGGACTCGGAGTCGGAGAAGCTGGTGCAGGAGGCGCTGGACCGCTTCATGATCGGGCGCACCACGCTGGTGATCGCGCACCGCCTCTCCACCATCCGCAAGGCCGACCTCGTGGCCGTCCTCCAGGGCGGGGCCATCTCCGAGGTGGGCACGCACGACGAGCTCATGGCCCGCGGGGATGGCACCTACGCCAGGCTCATCCGAATGCAGGAGCAGGCGCACGAGGCCGCGCTCGTCGCCGCTCGCCGGAGCAGCGCGCGACCATCCAGCGCCCGCAACTCCGTCAGCTCGCCCATCATCACGCGTAACTCCTCCTACGGCCGTTCCCCCTACTCCCGCCGCCTCTCCGACGCCGACTTCATCACCGGCCTCGGCCTCGGAGTCGACAGCAAGCAGCAGCAGCAGCAGCACTACTTCCGCGTGCAGGCCAGCTCCTTCTGGCGGCTGGCCAAGATGAACTCGCCCGAGTGGGGGTACGCGCTCGTCGCGTCGCTGGGCTCCATGGTGTGCGGCTCCTTCAGCGCCATCTTCGCCTACGTCCTCAGCGCCGTGCTCAGCGTGTACTACGCCCCCGACGCCGCCTACATGGACCGCCAGATCGCCAAGTACTGCTACCTCCTCATCGGCATGTCCTCCGCCGCCCTGCTCTTCAACACTGTCCAGCACCTCTTCTGGGACACCGTCGGCGAGAACCTCACCAAGCGCGTCCGCGAGAGGATGCTCGCCGCCGTGCTCCGCAACGAGATCGCCTGGTTCGACATGGAGGACAACTCCAGCGCCCGCATCGCCGCCAGGCTGGCGCTGGACGCCCAGAACGTGCGCTCCGCCATCGGCGACCGCATCTCCATCATCGTCCAGAACTCGGCGCTCATGCTGGTGGCCTGCACCGCCGGCTTCGTCCTGCAGTGGCGCCTCGCGCTGGTGCTGCTGGCCGTCTTCCCGCTGGTGGTGGCCGCCACCGTTCTGCAGAAGATGTTCCTCAAGGGGTTCTCGGGCGACCTGGAGCGGGCGCACGCGAGGGCGACGCAGATCGCGGGAGAGGCGGTGGCGAACGTGCGCACCGTGGCGGCGTTCGGGTCGGAGGCGAAGATCGTGGGGCTGTTCGAGGCGAACCTGGCGGGGCCGCTCCGGCGGTGCTTCTGGAAGGGGCAGATCGCCGGGAGCGGGTACGGGGTGGCGCAGTTCCTGCTGTACGCGTCGTACGCGCTGGGGCTGTGGTACGCGGCGTGGCTGGTGAAGCACGGCGTGTCGGACTTCTCCAAGACCATCCGGGTGTTCATGGTGCTGATGGTGTCGGCCAACGGCGCCGCGGAGACGCTGACGCTGGCGCCGGACTTCGTGAAGGGCGGGCGGGCGATGCAGGCGGTGTTCGAGGCGATGGACCGGAGGACAGAGATCGAGCCGGACGACGTGGACGCGGCGGCGGTGCCGGAGCGGCCCCGGGGGGAGGTTGAGCTGAAGCACGTGGACTTCGCGTACCCGTCGCGGCCGGAGGTGCAGGTGTTCCGGGACCTGAGCCTGAGGGCGCGGGCGGGGCGGACGCTGGCGCTGGTGGGGGCGAGCGGGTGCGGCAAGAGCTCGGTGCTGGCGCTGGTGCAGCGCTTCTACGAGCCCAACTCCGGGCGGGTGCTCCTGGACGGCCGGGACCTGCGCAAGTTCAACCTGCGGTCCCTGCGTCGCGCCATGGCGCTGGTGCCGCAGGAGCCCTTCCTTTTCGCGGCCACCATCCACGACAACATCGCGTACGGGCGCGAGGGGGCGACGGAGGCGGAGGTGGTGGAGGCGGCGACGGCGGCCAACGCGCACAAGTTCATATCGGCGCTGCCGGAGGGGTACGGGACGTTGGTCGGGGAGCGCGGGGTGCAGCTGTCGGGCGGGCAGCGCCAGCGGATCGCCATCGCGCGGGCGCTGGTGAAGCAGGCGCCCATCCTGCTGCTGGACGAGGCCACCAGCGCGCTGGACGCCGAGTCGGAGCGGAGCGTGCAGGAGGCGCTCGCCTCCTCCTCTGGCTCCGGCCGCACCACCATCGTGGTGGCCCACCGTCTGGCCACCGTCCGCAACGCCCACACCATCGCCGTCATCGACGACGGCAAGGTGGCGGAGCAGGGCTCGCACTCCCACCTGCTCAACCACCACCCCGATGGCTGCTACGCGCGCATGCTGCAGCTCCAGCGCCTCTCCCACTCCCACGTTGCGCCGGGCCCCTCCTCCTCAACAACAACACACGGCACCTAGTATTCGTTTTGATACAACAACATGTTCTTCTTTTGCTGTGTGTTCTTGCTGCTGCTGCTGCTAGATGTTCTAAGAATGAATTAATGAAATGAATTACTATACTGCTAGCTAGCTAGCTCATGATACTACTAGTACTGTGTCCATCGATGGATCATTTTAGCTCGATTCTTCGATTAGTTTGTCCGGAAATCAAGGACCAGCACAAAAGCAGCATGCTCAGTTCGATTAGTTGAGGATGATTGATACACCACCACTGCTGCTGCTGCTGCTGCTGGAGTAGTATAATATTACTCCATTACCAAGTCAATTCGATCAGCAGGTATGACCCGGGATTTAGGGCTTCCTTGTCACTACTACTAGTACAACATTCAGAGTAGTCGTAGGAGTAGGAGTATCATTCGTTCACACTCCAAAGTCCAAAGTAACAGTGTTTTGCAGGCAAGGGATAGGGAGGGAGGGAGGCAGAATTGCAGAAATTCTGGACCCTCCAAAGTTTGACTTGGAAGGACTATCACATGCACATGCAGGCATAATGTTGACGTCTTGTTGTTGCTTGCACATGACATGATCGTCTCCGTCGTGTGCCCCAACACCGACTGCTCGCTCGCTCGCTCGCTGCATGGTCCCTCCCCCTCCCCTCCGGACGGACAAAGCAGTATGGGGGCCTCTTCTATTTCTATTTCATGGATGAACCAAATCCAAATGGCACTGTCAAATCTAAGCCACCATATTTAGTGCTGTCGAAAACTCATGTGCCCCATACTACACTGACACTGCTCTACTCCTACACCTCTCCTCTGTAGAGGTGAGTCCATGGCGAGTCTCCTCTTCTCTTTCTGCGATGGGGTACCTAACACTGCCACTACCACTACCATCAGCAGGGCCAGTGTCAGTGTGTGTGTCTGTACTACTGTACTACCAGTACTGGAGTAGTAGTACTCCAGTAGTAGAGCAGGGCGCGTGTTTGTGTATCTGGTCTGACGAGCAATGAGCACAAGTGTGGGCGAAGGAGCTCAAGTCACCACCCTAGTCTTTGTGGGGTTGGCCATGTCAATTGGCGCAAGGCGAGCTTGTGGATGCTGCCAGAAACAAGGCAAAAGAGAGATCTGAAACAAGTGGCACACCCTAAACAAACTGCAACTGGATCAGTGAGTGGTAGTATATCAGCCAGCCATTGCTTTGCTTGGCATCAAAGATAGATTGCCATGCTCCTGCCCCTGCTGCTGCTAATCATCCAGGGCGCCTCGATCCGAAAGGACAGCCATGGAATCATTAGTCCTTTTTCTCTCTTCCACAATCCACAGCCGGCCCGGGCGGGCGGCTGGCATGTGTTGTGTTTGTGTCGATTGGAGAACAAGAGCAGCAACTGCACAACAAGATGATGAGCATGGATGGTGTTGTGGTGGGGTTGAGCGAGCGCGTGACAGGTTTTGGCCCCTTGCTCTTAATTTTCTTTTCAGCATCTGGATGGATTCTGGAGATCCAAATCCAATCCAACTCATCGCCAATCACCAGGGGAAGGGAGACGGGGGAGTCAGCTCATGGGGCTTCATTCTGGCACTTATAACTTATTACTCCTACTACGTGTAGTACTTTATTACAGACATGATTGGGAGCATGAAAGTGAAAGAAAGATAAGGAGTATAGGCAGGACAATTGCACAACTGGCGATGATGCAAACCAATTGATTTCGCTAGCTTAGCTTGGCCCCCCGGCATGCATGCATGCATGTCCAACACCCAGCATAGTAGAGTACAGTAGTAAGTAGTATATGCATCTTGACGCCCGCACACAAACAAGGAGCGTGCGTGCATTGCATCGCTATGTCCTCTATAGCTGCTATTATGACAAAAGCTGCATCATCAAAGGCATCTTTCTACTCATTTCATCTCCATCATTCACCTTCTCGCCCTTTCTATGCAATGCAGACTTCCATTCCAACAAGCCAACAGCCCAGGTCAGGTGACCATCACGCACTTGCGATCAACAAGTAGATTAGATAAGGAGGAACATTTGTCAACATTGACAGCCCTATTGATTAATATGGCACCGCCTATTCCTTTTCAACTCGTCCTTACACCAAACCAAAACACACTACTAGTAGTTGCCAGTAACACGTGACGGTGCAACCTAATACATGCTAAAATGCATATTACAGCTGCATAAAGCCCCAGACGACACCATCAACATGGCCCAGAGACTCAGTGGGGAGACATGACCAGGTCATGGAAGGGTAGATCCAGAATGTGCAAAAGATCATATGGGGCGTGAAAAACAGATCAACACACCTGTAAAGGCACAATCTATATTTATGTGGCCAATACTCTGGGCCTATATGTAGTTTACCTATGCCATACAATGCTCATTGCTGGTAGTCCCTACAGGCATAAGGCAGCCATAGCATGTGAGGCAAAGCGCATCCATCAACGCCCCTTGCCTTTGGTAGCTTGTGCTCAAGCCAATGCCAATAAACCGATAAGACGTTTTGATCCCAAGCACTGACTGAGGTAACTGATATTCAATCAGAAGCGAGACAAAATGAGGCAGGCAAAACAGAGTAACCCTTGGCTTCTTAAAAGTAAATTCTTGGACCAACAGACACCATCAAGTCAACTCCATTAACTACTAAGCAGAGCAAGTACATACGTACGGCAGTGACAAAAACATATGAGTAAAAACCAGGAACAAGAAGAGGTTCACATGGACATGAGCTTCAGGCCATTGTCAGGCATCCCCATTCCAGCAGCAAGCTCTGCATCAAGTTGAGTATGTGGGGCTGGCCCTGACATTTGCTTGATCCTACAAGTATCGCAAAGTCATTATTAGATATAGCATAGTAGATTGAACCGTATCACTTTGCACAAAGAAAGAAATGTTTCTGTAGCACATACTCCCTCTGGTTTCATAATTCTTGATGTTTTGTGTAAGGCTGAGGTCAAGCTTTTATAACTTTAATAATATTTGGTTTAAAGCCACTAGAACAACATATATAGATTTTTCTTAAAATTACTATAATAAAAGTAAAAATGTATTTATTTAGTGTATATATTATAATAGAAAATCATAGTCTAGGATATATTTTGGAGACTGTGTCATTGTTCAAAACGTCAAGAATTATGGAACCGGAGGGGATAATTAACTAGTATTTTAACTTTCAAGCTCAAAGTTACAGAGCTGAAGACCAACTATCTACACTGATGTAGTGATATATACGATGTAATTATAAGTACTTTTGAATACGGATCTAATAAATTTAATTGTGTCACAAAACATTATATCCTAATAGAGTAATTGTTAGTCAAAGTCTTGTCCTAACAAAACAAATATTTTGAAACCGAAGGAGTAATAGATAGGTACAGCGAAGTAGATTGAACAACTTCAGTAGATTAAGCTGCATAGTAGTACCACAACAGAGACCTTTTCTATACCACATAATTATTACGCTGGTGTTTTAACTTTCAAGCTCAAAGTTATAGAACTGAAGACCATCTAGCTACACGGATATAAATGATATGTACTAGCTGCATCCAAAACAAAAGGACTTTCGTCTTCTGTAAAATTTGTCAAAAGTTGGTACTTGCAGCTTGTTACATTATATGCTCTAGGCAATTGCGTTTACCAAACAACAAAAATTTGTTGCTGAACAACAAAACGTGTGCATGTATACATTATTGAAACAAAGTACTATCTCGTCAAAACTGTAGAAGACAACCTAGAGCAGAATATTTTTTCTGTTTAGCTCCAATGTCATGAAATGCAATAAGGAATAGAGATGCTTGTGACCATAAAATTTAAGAAGTTAGTATGTTTTCAGTAACCATGATGGAGGTAATATATATTGACACCCTACAATGTCATGACACCATATAATATATATTAGCTCCATGACATGCAGTGCAGTAAGGGTCTGTGATGCTGGAATGTGGCAGGTTACCAATATGTATTCTTCTTAGAAGAGAGATTTAAAAGTAGCAAGGACAAGGCGATCACCTTTTCTTGTGGCGCTTTGAGCGGTAGTGCTCCTCCTTGACACTCTCACTTGCAAAGTAGCGACTGCAGGCGACAACCAACATAGCAAGCATGCATTATATGATTGGTATCAGAAATAAACGGCGAGAGTTGAACATATTATTTGATTGATAAGGGTTGCAGGCATTGCAAGAATCAACGAGACTAAATTATTGGTTTATCACAGGAGTTACAGTTCAATTCAATTAAAGGCAGCGTGCAAACTACGAGAATCAGTGGTTATATTAGACGTGTAAATGTTCGTCAATATATATATATATAGAGAGAGAGTTCGTTGCAGGAAGCAAAGGCGTATTCCTAGTTGGAGATTCGATATAAAGGGGGGGCAGAGCAGGGACAGTAGAGAGGGGGCACATACTCGCAGTGGAGGCAGTAGAACTGTCCCATACCGGGGAGGTCCTCGTCGACGGGGAGCTGGGTAGCGTCGGCGTCCTTGCCGGCGTCGGCGAGCTTGACCAGCTCGTCGTAGACGGCGTCGTCGGCCTTGACGAGGAACTTGCCTCGGCGGGCCGTCTTGTGCGAGAGGCGGCGCTTCTTGACCTTGCGGTGCGGGCACTTGCCTCCCATCTGAGCGGCGGAGGCGGAGGCGGCGGCGGCGGGGAGGGGGAGCAGCAAACCCTAGACCCGGAGAAGAGGGGCGCAGGAAGACGAAGGAGTCGAATGACCAAGTAATAAAGCCCAACTACATAGTCCAGTACATAACACTCTTGTCTTGTGACAACAATGGGAAGCCCATCAGGCCCATGATGAAGTAATGCACGACGGCAGCCACTTAGACCTAGACTTGGGCAGCACAAAAGTACACCGAAGGTCCCTCAACTTGTCATCTAAGATACAAAATCATCCCCAACCATAAAACAAGATAATATGGCATCCCTCAACTCACAAAACCATTCATTTTAAGTCCTTATGTGGTTTTGACCCCGGTTTTATCCGACGTGACGGCTAAGTCAGCGTGAGACCAACATGTGCCCCATGTGTTGGGATGCCAAGGCAGCACACTCTCCCTTTCCCCTCTCTCTCTCTCTCTCACACACACACACACACACACACACACATTTCTCCTCTCAAGGAGCACGGCTGGTAGGGGAGGAGTGCTGGCACGGTGGGCGCGCCGGCGAGGGAGGAGCGCGGTTGAGAGGAGGGCAAGCGTGACGGGCGACGGTCGGCGATGCGGAGCACGATGACGACTCGGGGCCCCTCCCATTAGCCCTATCCCTGCCACCGATCGCCCGTCGCGCCCCCCGCCTCTCTGCTCTGCATGCGCCTGGAGCCGCCGATGACGACGAGGCCGAGCGGCGCGGAGTCATCGGCGCCGTCGCTCCCAATCCGCAGCCGCCTGCCACCGCCGCCTCTCCGTCACCGCGCTTGCCCGCCGACGCCGCTGCTCCGCCCCTACGCTCGCTCGTCGCCGCCGCCGCTGCTTCACTTGCTATGGCCGCCTTTCTGGTGCGGTGGCGGCTCCTTCCCTAGCGGCGGCAGTCCCGCCTCGCCTCGCACCCTCCTCTCCTGCCTCACCCTGCAGGCCTCCTCCCCACCCATCGGCCAGCCTGTGCAGAGAAGTGAGACAGAGAGAAGGGAGAGAATAGAGGAAAGAGAGATGGTGTTGGCGTGGACACCCTGACATGTGGGGCCACATGGATCCCGCGCTGACTCAGCCGCCATGTCAGACAAAATGGGGTCAAAACCACTGAAGGATCTAAAAGTTAACAGTTTTGTAAGTTGAGGGAAGTCATATATTTGGTTTTGCAATTGGGGGACGATTTTGTAACTCGATGACAAGTTGAGGATGACAAGTTGAGGGACTTTCGGTGTACTTTTTCCACTTGGGCAACTTTATCTGGAGGAAAACGTCCATATTCACTCCCTCAAATATAACCGAATTTAGTTCGCATCCCTCAACCTATCACCTGCTTCAATTATGAAAACCAGTATTTTGCCTCCTCGAATGGTTTTGAAGATAGTTTTATCATACATGGCGCTTATAAGTCAATATAGTTAACGGTTTTGTCTGATGAAAGGCGATATAAAGAGAGGAACGGTTATGCCACTGACATGTGGGTCGCATTATTTTTTTTATTTTTCTTTGGCTGTATTGCCACTTATACGCCATATTGGATGAAGACTATATCAAGATGTTACGAATGTGCCACATTGGACAAAATCACCTTCAAAAACGTTTGCAGAGGCAAAATAATATTTTGATAGTTGAAAGAAACGATAAACCAGATTTTATGGTTGAAAGATAAGACCTAAATGTAAATTGCACTGGAGGAAGTTAAAATGCACGTTTTCTCTCCTCTGGAGGATCAAAGAGAGAAAAGCCCATTTTCCTTGAAGAAAAATTCAAAAAAAAAGGAAAAGTAAGTGCTGACCGATAAGGGAAACAAAAAAAATTGGTTTGGACGAAAAAAAGTTGGATTTCTAAGAATTAATTCATATTAGTATCATTCGGCTTGTAGGCATATAGGTATAGAAAAATAGAAGAAAAATTTTCATTCCTATTAGATGTAGAGAGAAAGCATATGAAAAATTTCATCCACCCAAACCTCTGGGAAAATTCCTACGAATTCCTGTTCTTTCACATTTTCTATTCTTATATGTTTAAATTCCTCCAAAACAAATAGGCCATAAGTAGATCCAACCTTTATGGACCCATAAGTAGATCCAACCTTTATGGACCCTTTGATTTGTAGGAAAACATAGAAATTTTAAAGGATTTTTAATCCTATAAAAAATTTTTGTGTGAAGACCTTTAAAACAATGGATTAAATCCTATCATACAATTTAAAATTTCTATTGAATGGACAATAAAAAGAGATTTTGAGGAAACTTTAAAAAAACTCCAACCTTTTAAAAATTTTCTTTTGACTTTATCTCTCTTATTCGATTTTTATGTTCTTTTCGCTGGTCAATCAAACAACCATTCCTATATTTTTTCCTATATTTTTCGTATATTTTGTAATATTTTATTTCACACTTATTATCTTATTATCATTTATGCGATTTAAAGAGGCACCTTTATACTGTAGTACTAGTAATAGTTTGGGAAAGGAAAACTCGTTTGTCCTTTCGATCGGCCGTGCCCCCGTGCAGTGCAATGGTGAAATGGTGGTGTTGGGTTGGGTAAGGTCGTGTGGTGGCAGTGGTGCCGTGCTGAATATGGCACGTCGTGTCTGATCTTGAGTGTCGGCGTCCGCTTGCGTGTTGCGTCTGCTTTTTTTCATGCTCATATGTAGGGATGGCAATGGCCCCGTTCCCCGTTCATCGGTGGGGAATTCCTCTATTAGGGTGAGCTATCGGGGTAAATTCATCCCCCACGGGGTAACAAACGGTCAAAAGCAGGCCCCGTCGGGTGGGCCGGGGGCGGGGCCGTTCCACCACTCCCCGGCCCCGTATCCCCATGGGGCTCCAAGATATAACGTCCCATCAGCAAATTTCTTAGGTTGCAGTCCATTTAGGCCCAATTAGAAGCAATATATATATAGAGAAACCCTAACTTTTCAATCCCGTCCCCACTTCCTCCTGGCCGCCGCTCGCAGGCATGGTCGCACTCGCACGGAGAGAAGTCCCGATCCCCTTCGCATTTTTCTGGATCCGCCGATCCCCTTTCCTCTCTTTTCACTAGTTCGCCGGTCTAGCCCGCCTCTTTGCCATCGCTATTGCAGCGCCGTCGTCAGTTTGTGACTGGAGCCATGGCGGCCTCGACTCCCCGCGGCGGCGCCCTCTCCTGCTCCACCTCCACCCCCAGCGACTCACAGCGGCGTCGCCCTCATTTTCTCCGCTCTTGCTGACCAGGAGTGATGATGCCGTCGTGAGACGCAAGCTACCTGCACGGCATTAACTCGATCTGATTTTAAAGCATCAACATGTAGTACTTATCTATTGCTTTAGTGTGTGCGCCACTCGTATTCACTGGTGCATCAAGTTTCTGTTTCTATTGTACATCTACATTGGATTTTGAAGTTCTTCACCCTTGCTTCCTTTCATTGGTGTGAACTGTATTTGTAAACTCTTTATCATCTGTTCCTGCTCAATTGTTCTATGTATATTGGTGTTTGTTTGTTGGGTGCTAGGACCCGCGGGTGCCCCGTACCCGCTGCGGGGACGGGGACGGTGAGAAACCTTCCCCCGAGCACGGGGATGGGGATGGCGAACGGGGGAATTTCATCACCTCGGGGGCAGGGACGGGGTAGTGAAACCCGACGGGTGCAGCCCCGTTGCCATCCCTACTCATATGCATGGAACCTCCTTGTACCACATCAGTACAATTGCTGCGATCAAACTGCAGTTATGTAATACTTCCTCCGTCCCATAAAAAATCAAACTTATACTGGATGTGACATATCAATCAAACTAATACTGGATGTAACATATCCTAGGACTACGTATATGGACATACCTCTGTCCAGATTCATTATACTATAATGTGTTACATCCGATTTTTCATTTTTTTTAACGGAGGGAGTATTTCATTGATCAATATCAACCCACGGAATCTTAAAACTCATCATGCAAATATACCACATAATCATTCACCACTAATAATTACATATCAAAACTCATAAAAGCATACTACAACATCTATAATTTATTGAATCCACAAGCTTATGCAATCATCAAAACTTATGGAGTATCATTTTCATAATATTTAAATATGCATTGATTTATAGTACTTAAAGGACATTTATCTATATAGTATTCAGCATCAAAGATATCATTTAGTTTGTATTGTGATAATACTTATAAAACCTGACTTACTAATAAACCATGATTTCTCATCAATTTTTTTCCATATCTCTCGTTTCTTGCGACGTAAATCTTGATCAAGATTTTAATTTTTTTTTCTACGATTTCCTATGAAGTATACTAAATTTATCTCTCTCCAAATATAATTTGACAAATCATTGTTGTTAATAACAATATCATTTTTACTTCTAACTTTATCTTCTGAAGTATATTTAAAATTACTTAGCAATTCCCACGACGAAACACCTAGATTTAAAATCCCTTATATCATGTGACGGAGTGGGTAGTAACTTTGATACTAGACAACACCTAGTAACTCGGCGTTTGTGGCATGTCAATTCGATCCTGGCCTACAGCATCGAAGTACCCTTGCAAATGCATCATTGTCAGGTCGACTGCACACGCACGCCAATAACTTGCCAGCACTACCAATCGATCATGCATGAAGATATATCGATCGTCGACCGGTGGAAGAGCAATCTCTCTCAATCTCGATCTCGATCTCGATCCCGATCCCGATTCCGATCCCGATCCTGATGGATGGATCAGTTTGCGTTACGGTGATCGATATGGACGGCTTACCTGCACGAATGATTAATGCATTATTCACATTAACTCATGCTAGCTGGTAAAGTAGTAGCTTCATAATGGCAATGGACTTGATCCGATGATGATGGTCTCATCTGCTGGAGATCAGTTTCCGCGTGCATTGCATAGTGATGAGCAGTAGGAGCGATAGATATATCGACGTACGTTTCGATGAGGAGGTGCATATCGTCATAGATGGAGTACACTTTTACTCCATGCATCTGCACAGAGCTCAACAGTACGATCAAGCAAGCAGCCGGACAGCTGACAGTCCTAGTACTACCTCCGTCCCAAAATAAATGCAGCCGTAGAAATCCGTGTCCAACATTTGACTATCC